GTGTCCTGTTCGATAATTTTACTAATGACATGAGCGTGAAAAAAGAACAAGTGCGACAACTGATGTCCATGATCATCGACTCCTGGCCTAAAAGGTGCTTGGAAACTCTGGTGTCTGTCAGTAAGTTATTACTTTGTAATTTATTTGTATATGTTGTTTTAGCTTTGGGTTGAGTTGAGTAAACAATTGACATCACAGTACTCGAGGCATTCCTGTCCTCATCTTTAGCAGCCAGCCCAGATTGTTACAGCTGGTTAAACTATTTTCATTCATTCGATATTCTGTTGTTCCATTATGTGTTACATAGAACTCGCAGTCCATTTCTCCCTTTCCTTAAATCCTGTGCAATCACTTCTATATCATAGATGGAATCCAGTCGAGCATCTTTGGCTTCTCTCATCGACGTTTGCCTTATGGTTTCTTCTAGACTGCCTCGTTTCCTCGGTCAATTTCTCATGACAGTGTCTATTCTATTGTCTTCTATTCGTTTCCTTTCAGAATGTGTCTAACATAGCGCCGTCTTCTCTGACTTATTACTGTGTTGATACCCGTTGTTGTCCAGTCATTTCATATTTCGGAGCTAGTCACGAAGTCAGACCCACAATTGGAGTGACTTTCCTTTCCATTAATGCCTCGTTCTGACGAAAGGGCGCCTACTTTGTTGCGGGGATGTTACGATATCGTTTGCTTTCGCGCTCGGTTGGCGTACATAATGTTTGTCTAAGGTATTGTTGCTGTCAGTCTCTTAAAGGCGCCGCAGGCAACTACGTACAAATAAAAAGTACTGCAGGAGTAAGCGGCACTTCTGACAGTCATGTATGGGAAGGGAAATCACTCTGGATGTGGGCCTGACTTCGAATTATTTTTCACGATTTGCACCGGTTTCCAAGTATCCCTAACTCAGCGGCTCTCAACCTGTGAGTTGCGACTTTTTTGAAGTGTCCAACGACCCTTTCACGGCGGTCAGGGGGCTGAGTGGTCTCAAAAACTGGCGTCCGGCTCGAGTGCTGAAGGCCCCAGTGAAGGCTGGGCTTGTTTTCATGTGGTCTTCCAGTAATTTCCTCCGGTGTTTGATAGTAAGATGAGACGCCCGTGTGTATTGTTGGGCAATTTGAAATCGAATCTAGCAGCTTAATGGCGCTGCCCGGGAACAAAATTGAAGGTAAAAAGGCACCCAAAGTATTTAAGAATCCACGCCGGTGCTTCTGAGTTCGTGCACTGCTCTGAGATTCTTCTGATTCAGACTTGAGTTAGAATATGTTGATTGACTGTTTTAACCTTTAACCTTGAACCTTTACAGGATTCACCTAAGGCCACCGGAAAACACAATAATTTGGTGCACATTTGCAGCTGTGAAATAGACGCGTTGTCTATTTTCAAGATGTACTGCTAAGTGAACAACAGCTGGACTTCGTTCATGTATAGGATAGAATTCTCCAAACAGCCTCATTGCTGCCAGCCTGATTTCATCGATATTTATGACAGCATTCCTATCACCTCTGTCTGGCTGCAGGCCAAAAACTGTCAGGTCGCAGACTTTATTGACGTACTTACAAATGTATTTGATAGATTTAGCGGAGTTGAAGTATTTCACGTCAATGTGCGCTTTTTATGTCTTCGATAGCAAAAGTGAATATGTCACTAACCACCGGTTATCTACTTTGATGTCACCGTGGAGCAAATGTATAGTTGCTAATTGACCGCCATCCTCTGCTGACCTTCGTCGGTATAGAGGATACCCATCGTGTCCTGTAACTGTGTTGGATACTAATGCTCGGGGATATCGTTTAGAGCAATCCTCTCTTTTGCCACTCCACTGAGTACATTCAACAGCGCACAGACCCAAAACTTCACGTTTGACAATAAAAGCCATAAGTGACTTCAGTTTCTGTCTGAAAACACATGCTGTGATGTCATGCCTATCCACAGGCGATTGTCCAGGAAGTAAGATCTGTTGTTTATCTGCCCAAGCTGGATTGCATGTGAATTTTATGAATATGTCAGGACGCCCAATGTGGCGAACATATGCAAGTGCCTCTTGTGCGTACTCATGCATATGACGTGGACTGCCTTCCAACGTTAATTATATTACCATCATGTAGAACTGCATCTCGCAAATGAATGTATACTCACAGCGAAGCTCGGTCTGACTCAAACGGATGAACAGCAAACGTTCAGTCTCAATCTTTGCATACATATCCACGACGTATTGGTGAAACAATTGACATAGCCTCAAAAATAACTGTCCTTATTCTCTCGTATCATTAATCGGTTACAATAATACTTCATTGCTCCGCATTTCATATTTGTATATTCGCCAGTGACTGGATTTATCATCTTTACGTTGAAGTGATATCCATCGACACCACCCCAAAACATAATTTGGTATTGCAGAACATCGTAACAGGGATGAGGTTCTGCAACCCTTGTAAAGTGATTGTTTCTCTGCGATGGAGAACAATATCTCTAGGTTGGAAGTGATCTCCAACTATAACAATTGCGACCTCGTCTATGGCTGGGGCATTGAATCTGCGGACATGTTCTCCAGAAGGAGTTAAAAAACAACTTGTGTGTATCAGATGGCATCATGTCAGGTGCTGTTTTGAACAAACGCACCAAATGGTTTTTGTTGTGAAGAAGCTCTTGTAGTCTGGAAACGATGGATCATCGAATGCCGGTAGAAATTCCCCAGGGTGCATTTAATTCATCATTGCCGTCACCGATGAAACACATTTGGAGAAATTTATGTTGAGCATCTTGGAAACAAGCAGGAAGCCGGCTTTATGATAGATTTGTCCTTTCACTTTAAAAGTTGGCAATAACAGAGCTGCAACAATGTCAGCGCCCAGTGACGTCATTTGAAAGCTTGAGTTGTACTTCCTTATGTTAGATAGGAAATGCTTTGATTCGGCGATATGTCCGGCAAGCAAAGTAATTAATGGCTCTGGCGGTTCTGCAAGTTGAGTCAGTTTAACTTTCCCGGCGGAGCAACACATTCCTGTAGTCTCTGCAGGAAATCTCAGAGCCTTGAAAAGAAGACACACGCAAGTCATAGTGCCTATGAGAACATGCTGGTTTAAAAAAATTATCAGCTGGGTTGTACCGGAATGCAAAGCGATTGTAACTGAATGATTGCTGAGCACGGGACTGGTGTGCTGCCAGTATCTGACGTGTTTCAGCCACTGTCAGCCTGTTGCGTTGAGTCTGTTGAGAAGGAAGCAGATCTGAGGCTGCAGAACGCGATCGCTGTGCTCGCAACCGTGCGTCCTCAAGTGTGACTCCACGTCGCTCTACAGATAACTGGGCTGGTATCTGAGCACGTCTTTGTCTGACTCGATCGCTCACTGCTGCTCGCTCCTCCTCGGTTTGATTTGCACGTACTTGTCGCTATGCTTGCGCTTGGCGAGTACGACGACCCAAGTTACATTTATTGAAAGGCATTTTATAGACTAAATACAGCAGATTGATGCCACTAGATAAGAAGTAAGAGAAAAATAAAAAATTGCAACACGTAAAAAGGGGAGAAACTTGAAGTAGCAAACAAAGATTAAACAATAAACATTGCAAAATAATAAAGAAATATGTCAAATCATATGCAGAGCGATCATGTAAGCTGGAGTGCACAGGCAATGTACCAGAAAAAAACAAAAAATGAAAGTGGAGAAATAAAAAAATATACAGTATACCTCACGAAACGGTGGCTATGGTAAACGACACATCTGAATTGTAAACATTGCCCGGAAACAGTGAAGATAGTGCTCAATTAAAAAAAAAAAAAATTCGAAATACAAAACAATGGGGAAAAACAAAGTATTCTCATGTACGGACTGATATAGTTCCCGTGTTTTTGTGCGACACTGCGATATAACAACAAGAATGTATTCGAATGCAACGTTGTGTGACAATATGAACGAAACTGTTGGAGACATATCGGCATACAGCTTGACGCAGATGTGTGAGGTCTACAGCGGGGCTGCCAACGGAACGTGTTGAAAACCCAAGCTAGGGTGAGCAAAAACCCCAAGCAATGCATAAGCAAAGAAAAAACACAAAAACAAAATCACAATATTGATGAATAATATAAAATGTATAATAACGACACGAACAATTAACGCACTGTTATGTAACGATATATGTTGAAATAAAGGCGATTTAAACAAATAAAAATAATTAAATAGCCTTACAAAATGTGAACCCAAGGCGTCATAAAAATATATGAATAATTGAGCAAAAGGCATATATTGTCAGCCTTGATCAGCAGTCAAAGGTGGCCAATCAACTAAAAACAAATCCAGGCCGTCAACAAATGATTATTTGATTGTTGCTGGAGCTACGTCGTTTGTTGTTTGTGCAATTTCCTAATATACAAACACGCGTTGAGTCTAAGGCAACATTGTGTGAAAAATTGAAAGCGATAGTTGAAGAAATGTAGGAGGTTAACATTTTAATAATAGTATATATATATATATATATATATATATATATATATATATATATATATATATATATATAATATATACACACACACACACACACACATATATAGTGTTAACATCCTAAATGAAGATTAGCTAGTAAAAAACATCTTGTCTAGGAAACTGAAATATTTTTGCCACGTCAAGCCTCATAGCAAATTATGATTACAATTTCTGGATTTGAAAGAACGTTAGCAGAAGGCGCGGTACCAGGAAAGAAGGACCCCGGATATAAATGGCAGCTTGTGTCAGAAAGTGCACGAGGCAGGAGATCTGACGAGAGACAGTTACTTTCAGGCAGACCGTGATGACAGCTACCTTCAACAAAGGACCTGCTACATGATGATGATGAGGATGTGTGTGTGTGCGCACGCGTGTGTGTGTGTGTGTGTGTGTGGGAGAGAGAGAGAGAGAGAGAGAGAGAGAGAGAGAGAGAGAGAGAGAGAGAGAGATTCATCTAGTTACAATTATTTGTAATTCTACTTAAACAGTCGTGTTATTGGCTTATTCTTTCAAGATCCCAACATGCGCATCAAAGCAGATATCCACATTCTGATTGAGACAGCACCAAGTTACGACGAATACCAAATTCAGCTGAAGTTTACTGTATACTATACCTTGAGGTATAAGATCAGCCCAGACACAGCCCGTGCTTGTGTGATGATTTTTGGCCAGGATGATCATTTGAGATTTGATTTCTCAATGTTCAACACGCACGAACAGCTGGCACAGGTATTAATTGACGATTTCTTCTTTTTCTTTCTTATTCTTCTTCTTCTTCTTCTTCTTGTTCTTGTTCTTGTTCTTCTTTTTCTTCTTCTTCTTCTTCTTCTTCTTCTTCTTCTTCTTCTTCTTCTTCTTCTTCTTCTTCTTCTTCTTCTTCTTCTTCTTCTTCTTCTTCTTCTTCTTCTTCTTCTTCTTCTTCTTCTTCTTCTTCTTCTTCTTCTTCTTCTTCTTCTTCTTCTTCTTCTTCTTCTTCTTCTTCTTCTTCTTCTTCTTCTTCTTCTTCTTCTTCTTCTTCTTCTTCTTCTTCTTCTTCTTCTTCTTCTTCTTCTTCTTCTTCTTCTTCTTCTTCTTCTTCTTCTTCTTCTTCTTCTTCTTCTTCTTCTTCTTTTCTTCTTCTTCTTCTTCTTCTTCTTCTTCTTCTTCTTCTTCTTCTTCTTCTTCTTTGTTTACCGGCTGTATGCTCTGCGGAAAGTCCTAGTCGTTCGTCATTTTGGACTTTGGCTTTGTACCAGGGCCTGAGTTTCTGTATACATCCGTTTGGCAGGCTTTTTTGAGTGCACTTGATTGTTCCTTGCCGCTGCGGCAGATGCACTCTGACTTGGAAGGAAGTCCCCAGTTAGTTGTCTCATGTGACAGGCTTGCTGTAAAGGCAGATTTAATTCAATAACTTTACCTATGATAGAGACATATGGTCTAATTTTATTTGTGAATTTTATTGGACATGGATTTCACATCAGTGTTCCAGTCTTTTCTGGTAGATTGCACAGTGAGAGTGCCAGCACAGTGGCTGAACTTCGTAGCAGCAGTGAGAATCGCAGTTAATCAAGAATCACACATTCTATAAATACTCTTATTATTGGTGAAGTAAAGAGGATGAGCTCCCCGAACAGTTAAGAACCTCCTGCTCTCACACAGAAGATCATGGTTCTGATCCTAAGGTTGGTTAAGGATTTTTTTAAATGTCAGTGGCAAAACGAAATACCCAACCTGCACTTTCCTTGGCGACATCCCCATCCATGCGGCCCTAAATCATCAGGCCTTGTTTTGTTTGTGTCGATAAAGGCTGCCCCTGAAACGTCTGGCAGTTCCTGTGTGTGTTTGTGCGTCCGTTTCTTTCTACGTATGTGCCAGTCCTGACCTAGGGTGTGAGTCATGGGCAATGACAGCATCTCACAGAAGCAAGCATCATGCCTCAGAAATGAGATAGCTGAGAAAAGTGGTCTAAGTTGCAAGAAGAGATCAAGTTCGGAATCAGACATTAGGCCAGGAATTTTAAATTCAGGCTGTTCAATCTCTAGTGGGTCATTCACAGCTTCGATGGTTTGGACATGTATGCAGAATAAGAGAGAATTGGCCACCATTGAAAGCATGGAAGGCCGAGAACCAGGGAACCAGACGACCAGGGCGAACCAGGGCGAACCAGGGCTCACTGGGAAGAAAGAATCCGACAGTCCCTGACTGACAAAGGACTGGAACAAAGCTAAAACGAAAGCTGCAGATAAAGAAGTTTGGCAATCTTTTTGGTAAACATCTACAGCCCAAGGTGGAAGAGGACCGACTGAGGTAGTAAGTCTTAGTTTTTCCCCTTCCCACCCTCGTTAAGCTTCCTAATGGGGTAGTTCAGTGGGTTAACTTCTTTAAACCCTTGCCTAGGCCAATCATCTGCCTGAATAAAACAACGATGGAATGTAGAAAATAATTACTATGTACGGGGGACCCTAGAAAGGTATGCCTCAGTCGCTCTCCGCAAAACGGTTAGTATCATGTTGAGACCGTTGCACAGAGCACGGCCTCCGTTGCTCCGGCGACGATCTCTGTAAAAATGCCAATTGTGAACCGAATTGCCTGCCGTGAAACGAAACCGCGACCTTCAGAGCGCAAGGCAAACGGCTCGACCATTTCGCCACTGAGATCCATCAGGTAAAAATGAAATTTGTTTAATCGACCGTGGCTCTTAAACTGACCAAGAATAAAGACTAGTAGCCGAAAATCTTCTGCAAAGTAAGGACGCCTGGTGACACACACTGAACGCGTGACTCTTCAGCATAAGAAACCATCAACATTTCATGTTACTTCTCAACTGTTTAGTGGTGGCCCAATATAACTGTGCTAAACGAAGTTTCCAGTCTTTGTAACTGTTTCATTTTTATCCTAGAGATGTAAATCCTACAGAATGAAAATCTTAAGGGGTGAAACTTAAAAATTAAAATGTTGAAAAAAAAAAAATTATACATCTACATCGCTCCAAGCAAAATTTTAATTTATCCAAACAAAGGAAATCCAGGAGTCGAGTTGAGTCAATAAATAACATCACAGCACACGGGGCCTTCCCATTCGTGTTCCGTCCTTATCTTCAGCAGCCAGCGCAGGAGTTCCAATACTGATGGTACCAGTCACAGTCTGATTATATGTCCGTCTTGCCTTTCCTCTCAGTGTACTGACCCTGCCAGACCCTCTGATTACACCCAGGTGCCTTATTCTCTCTAGGCCATAATAATCTTGTTTCTCTACTGATTCCGTTGCTTGTTCCCAGACGGCTTTGACTACATCTGCCTTGTCATGTAACAACTTGCCAATCTGTTTGCCTACTCATTACCCACTAGGCCGGCATAGAGAAAAAATCCAAAGTATGCTTATTACCCGTGACCTTAACAGTGAAGCTTGCCAGTCTGTTCGAAGCATTTCTGTTTTCACCTTTCTCAGCATGCCTTTAGAGTCTGTTACAATAATGACATGTTTATGCATCTTGTTCTCTAGCCACCGGAGAGCTGCAGTTATCGCCCCCACCTCCATTCTCATGATAGATGTTGTAATGTTGTATGCTAGGCTGTCTTGCACTAAAGATTGCCTATTGGCTTTTCGCTAAGAACCCCCAGACACTTCTCTTTTCCCTCAACATTGAAACATCTGTATAGAAAATCAGATCATCTGGGCGTCAATTGTCGTGAATCAACTGTTGGACTTCCTCCTCAGTGGCACCCGCTGCCCACTCTCTGCACTCCCGGCCCAGTGTGATCAGAACCCTACACAGGTCACACTTTTCCTCTTGTATTCTGACCCACTCCTCTCCTCGCCCAATGTTCTCCAGCATGCATACTTGTAACATTCCCGGATATTCCACAGATATCACTTGGCATCAAAACGTTTACTTTTGCAGTTTATGGCTGTTCTTTTAGTATATATATATATATATATATATATATATATATAGAAAACACTATCCGCTTTGATTTCGTGGCGTCCAGACACTATAGAGACGATAGTCGCACCGTGAAAGAAATTGGGATTTCGCCAAGTAATAATTCACAAGGTCAGCAGTGAATAAACTGTAGCCAACCTCCATAATTAAGAGGGCACACTGTTTTTATTTTTATTTTATTAGGTAATGTATTATTAGTATTATTTTTCATTTCAGACACTTCTTGGTGCACCATTTCTGAAACAAAGCTCTGGCACCGACAAAGCTTTAAGGCTTGCTCGCCAAGAGTCCTTCGGTCCATCTGGCCGAATACGTCACGATGTAAAACAAATGGTTGTTATGGTTACTGAAGGACGCACTGCAGACGAAAGCAAAACAATTGAAGAAGCAGATCAGTTGAAGAGTTCGGGAGCTGGGATTATAGTTGCTGGAGTTGCTAGTGTCAATCGGAGCATATTGACAGCTATTGCATCTGACGCAACACATGTTTACATAGCAGATACTTACGTGGAACTTCTAGAGCTCCCAACAGAAATCGCACAAAAGACAGCCGAAGAAGGTTGTATTCATTGTTTACATTTGTACATTTTGGATTATATTGTATGCAGCAAATCTATGTAATTGGAGATTATAGACAGAATTATCCCATGCTATATAGTGGCTATTTAACATATGGCTGTGAATCATTGACAATTAATGAACAAGGCAATTTTTTGAGGCCTCAGAGATGGGGTTTTACAGAAAAAACTTAGAATTCCCTGGACTGTCAAAAAGAGCAGCAACATGTTTATTTTTTTTTTAAACCGGCGAGGACTCGAAAACAGCCTATCACAAACATAAGAAAGAGATGGTCATCATTATTTTGTCATTTTAGGAGAAAAGGGAAACTGGAACATGGTGTGACCAATAGAAAGATATGTGGAGAAAGAGTCGGGGGAAGACAAAGCGAAATTCTTTACTAGCTTTTGTCATGGCATGGCACATGCTGTTGAAGATCTCACATTGTGGACAGACATAATCGCCCCCTTTAGTCGGCAAAGTACTTGAGGATAATGGCGTTCTCAACAGGAGCGGAGTGGCCAGACGCTTGTCTGCTTGCCGTCTTTAAAGTCTGGGTTCGAACCCGCGTCAAGTTGGATTTTTATTTAAAAAAAAAAAAAGGAATTTGGCTCCTCTGACGAAACCCAAAATGTCAGCTTCGAAATATTATGGGAAGTTAAGTCTGTGGGCATGATGTTGATCTCATAACTAGTCGGGTCAGCTAAAGTACAGCTTTGAATTTGAACTGCATTTCTAGTGTTAGACTGTTTGTGTTGACACTTTTGGCTTCTGCCTTATTATTTATTGCGTGCGCAAGGCTGTAGGCTGTGTCAATGTTTCCACAAGTGACAGCGATGGACATTCTGTTTTTGTTGGCACAGGAGCAGAGCAGCTATAGGGCGACACGCTTGCTATGAAGTTGGAACTGGGTTGTGTCGTTATGAGTCCTGGAGAGGAACAGTTTGCCGCGGAGCACTCAATGGACAGTCCTGGCTATTGTTATTAAGTCTTGATACAGATGTGTTTAATGTCATCAGTCCACTTTCTATTTGGGTCCCCTCAGGGCCCCTCTTACTCTCACATCTGGTTTTCTTTTTTCTTTTAGTGTAACGCCTGTGTTGGTAATTGTCATGGCTGGACTCTAGCGAGATGACAAGATCATTTAATATTCTGCTTCTGAGACCGTTTTTATAGTTGTTGCATAAGCGTTATAAAGAAGCGGCTGGCCAAATGGTTAGAACGCAGGGCTTTCGTTCGGGAAACCTGAGTTCAAATCCTCGGTAAGGCTGGGGATTTTTCCCTGTTGGAGCCAAAAATAAAATCCTTACCTGCACAGTCCGTGGCGACAGCACTAGCCATCCGGCATTGAATCCTCAGGCTCAAAGAACCCCTACATTTAAAAAAAAAAAGGCATATTGAAGGCAGTAATAGGCAGTTAACATATACATAACAATGGTGTTGGCATTTTTAGTTACTTTGGCATAAAAAAAAGTAAAAGTATACCCATCTTTGAAATAAAGCATCAGATGCCGACAGTGTTGGAATGTAAAATATGCAGCTCTGAAAAGCACACAGCGATGTAAGGATGATAGTTTTTTTTCAATTTTGTCTATGTTTTTTTTTTTTTTTTCAATCGGAATTTTCGTTACATGAAATTTACGCATTTGTATTGTTAAACTCACGGGTACTTTAACTTTAGACCCTCTATCTCGACAGCTTCGAGATTTGTAGTTGTGGTTAAGGTAAGTTAGTTGGTACTCGCAATTCATTTAACACTAGCCCTAACCCCAACAAACTCACACCTATAATATAGTACTGTCCAGGGCAATTCCTGTGAATTCCCTAAGAATTCTAGAAGCGGACACAGATAGGGGTCGTTTGAAATTAAACTCACCTACGGTCTAATTGCGGATCGGAAGGTCGTGGGTTCGCTCCCTGGCGACCCAGCCTTGAGTGAGTATCGGATGCTGTCCCGGGAAGTGATACTGACCACATTACCCATCTTGTGCCGATTGGTCTAAAAAAAATAGGTCTAGCCCTATATGCCTATACGCCTGAAAGCGTGAAAAAGAGTCCTTTACTTTTTACTGTTTAATTATTAACCAAATTATTGATTTTTCAAACTAGCTCCTCAGTACCGTGCAAGAGCAGATATTTTGTTTATCTTGGACTCGTCTGGCAGTATCAGTCCTGCAGATTACCAAAAGGAACTTGATTTTGTGATCTACCTAATCAACAATTTTAACATTGGACTAAATTATGAACTTTTCAGTGTGATGGTGTTTTCCAATGTTCCTCAGATGCTGTTTGACTTTACTTTGACCAATCATGATCAAGTGAAGAGGGTAAGATTTAGATCACACTATTTACCTCTGATTGCTTGTTTCGATGGTATTTTAGAACACCACAGGGGAAAATTTTTTTTTACTAAATTCGCTTTAGTGTAGACACCCTATTGTTTTCTGTTTTGTGTCCGGACTGTAAAAAAATTGGCAATTAATTCAATCAATCATTTATCGTTGACCACTTTAAAAATTGGCAATTAATTGAATCAATCATTTATCGTTGACCACTTTCAGCTAGGTCAGATTGCATTGCTGCTCTCTTTCCTGTCCGCTATATTTGTGGTGACGTTTCTGGTCTTCGTCTCATCTGGTTTTGGATTGTGCTTTCTGACTGACTGACTCTCTACCCCACCATGACATCACACAAGCGATAAACACCCGATGACACAAAGTGCCACCATGTGGATGAGGATCGCCGTGGGGAGGTCCCAGAAACCGCGTTCAGACAACTGGCCATATTTATGGCCTGCCTATTTTGCGGCCCCTGGAAAAAGCCAGAGAGGGGCTTCAAATGACCCAAAAAAAAATGTCATCTTAAAAAGGACGAATAAATAATTGTGCTTTCAGTGTTTGTCGCTTGATATTTGTTGTGGTTTTCCGCTCGATTGTCTGCTTTCGTAACTGGCTGGCCTTCTGCTGCGCTCCGGTTTATTGGCTGTTGAGTCGATTTTGTGTGGATTTCATTGGCCGTTTGCTGTTTCCGAGGAGAGAGGACTGCCTATCCTAAGAAGGACTGGCGGTTGCTTGCTTTAGGCAGGTACTGAAAGAAATAATGGTGGGGTCTGGTGTTATTTCGGTGGTCTTCGTGTGTCCTTGTTGTAAAGTGCTTCTCCTACATAGGGTTTAGTTAGTTTTGGCGTTTGTGGTGTCGTCTCTGGCATTATTGTTTGTGGTGACGGTATCGACCTCGTTTGACTTCAGGTTTTGGCGGTCGGATCGGTTCTTCTGGTGATGACCATGGTACATCATCCTCTGGCAATTCTGGGTTAAAGTAGTTCAGATCCTCCAGCTTCCTAATGCGTTGATTTATTTGTAAAGTGGTTTTGTCAGTAAACTGCCTCATCAGCGGCGTCGGTATTTTCTTGTCTGGTAATTGATATGGCTTTTTCTGGGTTTCGGCTCCCTGAGGTTTGGGTGACTGTATTTGCTGCCTTCTTGCTGCTTCTTTTCGTGCTTTCTCTCTTTCCTCCATAACTCTGTTGGTTGCTTGTAGTTCTTTACCTAATCTGTTGTTTTCTTCGTATGCTCTGCGCAACTTACGAAATTCTTCTTCTTTCTTTCTGTTATTTTGTTTTATGCCTTTAAGCGTATTGGGCAAAAAGGGTTGGACCTATTTTTTTATAGACCATTAGGCACTTGGTGGGGGATGTAGTAAGCATCACGCCCACCGCCTTTACACCCCAGGACTGGACCTGGTACCCACTCAAGACTCGGTCAACCTGGAAGCAAAGGTCATTTTTTGAAAAATGTTAGGATCCGTCAGGACCTGAACCCAAGACATTCCGATCCACAGGCGAGCGTATAGCCTCTACTCCACGGCGGCTCCCCGAGATTTTTTAAATTATTATTATCGATCACCGGCTGTGAATTCCAGTGGAAGGTCCCGGTTAATCGTCCGCTTGGACTTTTGGCTTTCACCTGGACCTGATTTTTGCGTGTACAACCGTTTTTCATTTCCCTGCCTCATGGGCAGCTGTACTCCGACTTCGAGGGAAGACGTCAGGCCTATTTCTAGGTTGACTGTGGCCATAGTTTTGTGTGGGTCGTGACGTTGCCTGCTTTGTGTGGTGTCCACTTTGTCCCCTTCGCCGCAGGTATTGCCCTCGGAGTACCCCTTTGGGGCAGCCCCCTGTGGAACAGTTAGCCCTCAAGGGAAGGCAGGGGCAGATCATGGGCATTCCCCGCCATCCAAGGGGGCTTCCATGCATGCAGAGCCGGCACATGGCGCTCTGGTTCTGGGCTTACCCAAGGAATCGTCACGTCCTGCACATGCCTGCTTAACCTCACAACCGTATCAGGCCTCCCGCTCGACAGGGGCTGCGCCCTCTGGAAGTCAGCGGGGAGCAGCCCGTGGGTTTTGGACTTTTGTGACCACGCAGATAGTTACATTCTTTTTTCTCGCACGTTAAATTTCTTTGACGAGCCGTTAGCCCGACAGAATTTTACGTCCTGCATCAGGCATATCGTTATCAGTTTTGTCCCAACACTCGGGCGAGTGGGATCTTTGGGTGTGGACATTCGGTCTTTTTCAGTTCAATACAAATTTTGATGATCAGATTTTGATCCGTATGATCTAGTTTTGTCGGACAATTAGGCTTGGCCATCCGATGGTTGGTTGCTGTTGTGGTGTACCTCAGCGCGGTGACGACGACACTGAGGGTTAACCGAGGATGTACATGAATGGTCAGCCTATGGATGGTTGCTGTTGTGGTGTACCTCAGCGCGGTGACGACGACACTGAGGGTTAACCGGGGATGTACATGGATGGCCAGCCTATGGATGGTTGCTGTTGTGGTGTACCTCAGCGCGGTGACGACGACACTGAGGGTTAACAGAGGATGTGCAGTGAACAATGTTCTCTTTACTCCGCAGTCTTTTAACCAAGGGTTGTAATTTTGGCTGTACGTTTGGCAGACCTACTCGTGTTCCTAATGAGTTTTGATAACATTTTTCACCCAAGCGTTTGGGGGCGGGCTGATGAGAGCCACAAGGACACATCACCTCTGGGGGCCGCCGAACTCCGAGATCCCCTGACAGCTCTGTTAATGCTCATTTGAGACATTATCCGTGGCGCACGACCAGGACGTGCTGTAGGGGTCTTGCGTGAGGTTCCGTACAACCAGGATAGTAAAGGACTGGCGCCCGAGTGACGTACGGAGTATCTCCTTACACACATCAAGTTGGACTTAACTTCTCCTCACGCCTGTGACATAAATCACCGCGCCACGCTCCCTGAGATAAACTAGATAATTAAAAAGCAACACTAAATTAAATTAAAGAAACAATAGCTAGCTGGATGGACAGACACACATATAAAAAGACAGATATAAAAACAGACAGACAGACGGTAGGATAGAGCACACAGGTAGATAGACAGACAAAGATAACCTTAGAGGGGTAACTGAGAAAGTGCGAGAGAGAGAGAGAGAGAGGGAGAGAGAGAGAGAGAGAGAGAGAGAGAGAGAGAGAGAGAGAGAGAGAGAGACAAAGAGAGACAGAGAGTGAGAGAACATATGGTGTGAACTCTTGATTGGCTAACTGGATGGGGCAGCACTGTTGAAAAGAACAGTGGTAGTTTGTTAAAAAATATGGAGATCGAATCCAATACGCATTTGCATTCGCCTTCCCCAGGGATCACCATTATCACTGTATCGTTCAACATATATACAGGAAATTTGACAAAAATACAGCCCGTTGGACCAAGGCGAACTTTAACATTTGCATATGATGTCCTAATGCGGGTCAGACAGGTACGACATGACCAGAGACTTGCAAAGCGCTTTGCATGAGATGACGGAGTGTTGTGAACAGACAGGATCAAGGGTAAACACAGAAAAGGCCAGTGTTTTTTGGTTCCCCTTAAATAACAGCATTGGAAAGGAAGTCTTGCTCGCATATCCATAAAGGGTATACATGTTGAAAGAAGAATAGGTTTAAATACTGAGGTCTGACATTTAATGGTAGTCTGTCTTACAGATATCACGTGGAGCAGACTGTGATCAAATGCAAGCGTGGCCTGGCAGCACTGAACACGATGGTCGCGACATACACGGAATAGAAACTATTGGTCTTATTGTTCAACAATTTGGTCCTTTCAGTAATTGATTACGGCCTAGGATTTTTAACCCTTTTTACTTTACAGTGTACAACGGATTCAAAATAAAGGAATGAGAATCGTCTAGGATTGCAAACGAGACAGTTCAGCTAGAACAGTGAGGTATATGCTTGGGCTGACATCAGTATAGTCTGGACTGCCACTTGGGCAAGCTAACTCCTATGTTCGAGTTACCAATGATGAAAGACCTCCGCTGCATGACAGTCTGAATGATTTGAGAGGAGACCGGTTAAAAAGAGGAAAGTCACGGATGGCACTTACTGAAGATACCATCGGAAAATCGACCTTAAATAAGCAAGCAAATACACAGGGGACAAGAATGGGTCGATCTGAACACCTAAAACACCAGTTTTCTTAAAGTATTTTAAAGAATCCTAAGGTTTTTAAGGTTTCCTTATATGCATACTCACATACAAATGCACACCATGATTATTCGATGTTAATTTCTTTCGTTAGCAAATAATATGTCTTATCTACATGTTCCAGGGAATTGAAGCAGCCCCACACATAGGAAGGGGTACGAACACCGCTGCCGCCCTGGAACTTGCAAGGACACAAGTATTCACGTCTCGTTGTGGCTGTCGTGGTGGGAAGAAGATCGCTATAATTATAACCGATGGTTGTTCTAACAACATACATAAGACAGCTCGTGCAGCAGAGGAGCTGAGAGAGTCCGGTGTTCTGACCCTGGCAGTTGGTGTAGGATATATCAATCCAGTTGAGCTAGCTCATATTGCTACCTTACCAGAAGATGTCTACACGGTTGACAATTACAGTGTACTTCAGACAATCCAAGATGAACTTTCCGAGAAGACCTGTAGACTGGGTAAGACAGCATTCGTTCTTGTGCAGTGTTTATTATATTTCAAATTATGTAAGTAAAAAATAAAAAAAAACACACACACACACACACAAACCTATTATCTCATTTATATCGGTAGGTGGGTGTATTGCTAGCAACCTGCGACATGCTGATATAGTTTTGATCGCTCAAAATAAAATACACCTGCAAGAAATGATATATTTAATTGTAACGGAAAGAGACAACAAGGGTCTTTGTTTAAACAGCAGAAAAACTAAGCAATGGTAATTACGTACAAAGAAAACCGACCCTCCAAAATGCATCATCAAAGTAAATGGGACAAACCTCAAGAAAGTTGATATG